ATTTAATTACAGCCTGAATGAATTACACAACACTATGAAGTAGTTTAGAAACAGGTAGCGTTGTTCAATCTGCTGATACAATCTTTTCATGCGGAAACTTAAGTTCTTTTGATGTTTGTCCTTTGTAATTATTATTATAATTCTACATTAAATTAGTAAATTGGTTAAATTACCCAGACGTCTAGACAGTATCGCTACACAAAAATATCGCTAGGTACATAAAAACACGTTTCAGCTCAAATCGACTGTCAAATGATTACATTTGTGTGACTTGTTCCCAACGAGTCACACCGACACGAGTGACAGTGTTATTCGTTGGGAAAATAAATTCAGTCACACTGTTATTTATTCACACATTTATTATCTTCTATATGAAGGTATAGGACATTTTGTAGTTTAGCAAAATGGATTCAACCCCCAAAGTCGTCGAAAATGAGTGAAGTATACCAAAGTGGTCATTACGATCTATATTACCATGTAGCAAAAAGTGTCAAATGTAACATGGTGTGGTTTGGATCCTTATTGCTAAAGCGTCCTTATAAAGAAACAATGTACAGAGAATACATAAAAAATCAAAACACTTCTGAAGTTTACTGTAAGAAAATACAGGTTTGAGTGTGACCGACAAGTAATGATGTGACTTGGTGGGATTTTTTCCCAACGAGTAACAGTTTTGCTCGTTTTGGTGTGATTCGTTGCGAACAAGCGATCTCGGTTGATGAATTCGTTAGTGTGACCGACGAGTAACGGTGTAACTTTAAGGCTGAGTTGCACCACCTAACTTTAACGGTAGCTATAACGATAACCGGTGCTTTTTGTTAGGAGTTTGACAGATTTTTGACGTTTATCAAAGTTAAAGTAAGATGGTGCAACCCAGCCTTAGGGATTTTTTTCCAAACAAGTAACACTGTTACTCGTTTCGGTGTGACTTGTTCGGAACAAGCGATCTCCGTTGATGAATTCGTGCCTAAATAAATCAAAGTACTCCATTTTAAGGGCCCAAGGCCTAAGGCCTGTTGGTTAAAGGTGTACAAACGACCTCGTATGGACAAATACATATAATGAAAGGACGAATATTCATGACAACTCTGTGGTTCACGCATTTCCGTTTTCCTTAATTAATTTATGTTCACGGATTTAATTGTTTGAAACGGGATCACTGGAAAGGCCCATCGGCACAATTAATTGTTTTAATTATCATTTGTCTGTGGTATGTTTGTTAATTGTGTGCTTTGAATAATTAATAGCTATAAAAAGATATCAAATTACTTTTTAAAGAGCCGATGTAATGTACCTACTAAAAAGATAAGAGAAATTCATACAAAACCGACAATCACAAGAAACATTTTGATAATTGGATCAGCATAATTAATTTTCATTTTATTTACAAATTATAAATACTTACATATAACTACTAGTAATAACTACTTACCTACATCTACATCTTTATTGTGCACAAAGTAAGAACATTTGTAATTTATATTACAGTACAGTTATTAAATAACAAAGAAAAAGTAAATTAGTTACATCTTCTAGTAATCTGTTGGCTTCCTGAAACAAATATTTAACTATGACCTCATAGAGAAAGCTTCAGATGATTATGGTTTGTGACGAGATCCCATTCATCGATTATTTTACTTTTGCCCTCAAGGGACACCCTGAAATAATTTCGTATTGCTTTCCCTTCTTCGTCGTATCCATTTTTAAGATACCAACCACCATCGAAGCTTATTTTTTTGTTTGTCATTTGCGATAATACTCTGTGATGAAAGAGATTTTTTGGCTGAAAATTCAAAGTTTAAATTCCTGTAGGTAAATACATTATAGAAAAACATCGACATGGGTATTAATGGTCTAGTCTAGTATCAGCCGCTAATATTAAAGTGAATTAACAGTCATATTTTATAGACAATCATAGACACATTTATTTAATCCTGAAATATCCAAACCAAAACTTCAAACAGGTGCAAAACATGATTTTAAATCATTTATGTGAGACACAGATATAGATCTGTCATGTGCGAGTCCATCTTTACTCCTTCCTTTCATACATAGAGAGAGCGTAATTACCTTGAAAATCGTTATCATCAGAGATTTCGAATAAAGTATAATAAATGTGGTTGATTCAATGTGAATCAGATTAAGTTCGTTTAAATTCATTTATTCGTACCTAATTAACAAGTAACTTTTTCCTTATCCAAAACAAGCATTATTTAAACTTTTCCCGCCTTTTTCAGGCTGAAAAAAGCTCCTAACCACGTCGAACCAATAATTCACAAGAGTCGTGCTCTATTAGCCACAGCGGGCACTAAAATATAGGCTGCGGCACATAAAACGGCCGTAAAAGCAATTGGCGCCGCTGTAAAACTGATGCGTGAATCCACCGATAGATGGCGTTGTTTGATGAAATGGTTATTTTCTTAGTATTTTCAGAGATAACACTTTAAATCAATAAGCCCTTGTTATTCATAAAATAAAATAAAATGCAATTTATATTTAGATTAAAATAATTTTTGTCGCCGACAGCTAGCTTGCTTTGATGCAGTTTCAAATTTTCAGATATACAGGGTGACTTTTGTATCAGTATCCAAATTTTTTCGTGACATTAGGTATCGTTTATAGATGACATTTTTAATAAAAAATAGGTAGGTCAAATTTTAACATCAATTATTTTTTTCCTAACCAATTAATCACGTAGTGTGGTTACCGCGCTTAGCGCGTAAACATTTTGCGGGAGAGCTGGTCGAGCGGAGAGCTGGCAACGTGTGGCAACGCTCGACCGGCCGGCCCAGTGTCTCCATATGTAAATCGTGAGTTACCGTGTTGCTAGCGTAAAAATACGGTGTTTTATACCAAATTACGGTGAAACTACTAAAAATGTACCGTGTAATTTATCAAAGGAAAAAATACAATATTATTATGAAATGAAACAAAACACAATATTTTTTTTTAATTTTTAATAAAAAAAGCAATAACACGTGAAATATAAAATTTAACATTAATATTATTCTGAATCAGACTCTCCTAGCATCACAGTATCTTTTTCGTAAATAGATTTATTCATTTTTAACAACATGTCGTTAGTTGGCTTAAATAAGGTTGAGACTAGATTGCCGATGTTTGTTGGTAGAGATCGACTTTTAGAATATTCTGGGATTCCCCTCGGTCTCTCGGCAGTGTTGCCTGTTGTTTGTATATGTATTATATATCTATACCATGAATATAATACAGCAAAGTAATTCATAATTCTAATACGGTGATTTATGACACGGTAATACATTATTACCTTGACGGTAGAAAATGACCTGATTACGGTGCATCTACGGTAATTATCGTGTATATGGAGACACTGGGCCGGCCTGGCCGCGCGCGCGGCGCTTCAATCAGTCGCCCGCGCAACCCATTACGAGACGCGCGTATCGCTGCGCGCGCCGATCGTTCCGTCGCGGCTTCGTGCGGTCAACGTAACGATGTATTCGCAGCGCGAGTGTTATGAAATGATTCGGTGCTACATTTTAAGTGGAGAGAGTTTGAACCGGGCTCAGAGGAATACCTCGACTTCGTAACCAAGGACTAAACCCAACAGTGCCAAACCGGTGAATGATTTTAGCGGCAAACCGAAGCGAGATCCGCGAGCCAGTAGGTAAGTAGGTACCTACACGAGACGCGAAGTGCGAAATGACACTGTAGTTTTAAATAAACTCAAAGACAATGTACAAAAGCGTGCAAGTCTGTCTGGAGAAAAATGGTATGCACTTTGGGCAATTATTAAAATAACTACTCATAATTTGTTAGTTTGTTGTTAGGTTAGGTAGGTTTGGTAAGCAATCTCAATTATTGCACATGAAAATAACGATAAATACCAGAGAGCAGAAATAACAGGAGTGGAACTGACAGGCAATCCCCTCTAGCAATGTAAGTAGACCAGTGGTTCACTCAGTTTATAAAAACTAGTTGCAGCGCCACCAATGACATATTCCANCATTATAGCAAGCTATACATACAGCTCGTATACAGCTGATATACACAGCTTGTGGAGTACATGTGAACGACTATTGAACTCTTAAATGGAGTAAAATGTTACTTGGGCAATTACGCTTGCTATTGCGTGGTCTCCGTCCACTAAGCCGGGCGCTCCATTCTTGTCTTCGCTCTAGGCGCTTTGACCAGCGATTTTTGATATTGCCCAGTCGCTGCGCTAGCGCCTCGAATTTAGGCCCTCTACAGAACCTTCGTCTGATTCGAGTCAGTATGCCAACTGTATTCAGCAAGTAATACATTTTATTGTCAATTTGATCAATTTGCAAGATGTTTGGATATTTTTTTGACCTCGTAATGTATATTAACATAATAATTATTATCTTCTTCACTTAGAACGTTAATGTAATATCTTGGCACATATTTTAATTTGATCTGTTTTTGTTTTCGTCGAAAAAAGTCCTTTCTCTCATTAGTTAACTTAATTGATTATTAATGTTAAGTCGTGCATGATCTGGTAATGCTATTTAAGTGATAATATTAATAGAAACCAAGAAATGAATCCCCTGAGGTTATGACATGTAAGTGGGAAAGCATGCAAACCAAAACCCAATAAACAAAAGATGAACGTCAATACGTATTCCCGTAAGGATACAAAATAACTAAGTAATTATTATTGATATTTTGTTTTTAAAAGAGATTAACTTCACTTTCAATAAAAATATCCCATGCGTACCTACTGTGTATAAAATTAATGATTTTCCGTAATTATTCTCACAAGTTGGCGTCACTGGCAAGTGATTGGACCTTGCATTGACTGTGGTGTCAACTAGGTGATTGCTATAGTCTGGTCTGCGAGCACGTAGAATTTTGTCCAATGACCCCAAGCTACCCATCCTTATCGCTCGCGCGTAATAATATTGCTGTCGCGACTGTGCGACTGATGAGCGTAATTAAATAAACCCACATTGATAAGAATTTACGGTTGCAAACGAACTACGAGTATAAAGAAACATAGTTACAATTCGTTCAAACATACCGTTGGGTTTGACGACCAGCGTGAGGACTCCCCGAGTGTTCCTGATCATCTGCACCATTTGTTCATGCGTCATCTCATCCACGTCGTTGCCGTTTATGGATATCACCTGAAACAAGATAAGAAAATAGTAATAAGTATTAAATATAATGATTTGCTTAATAAATACTATTTTTGTTAAGCAGATATTGTACCAATCAGTCTACTGACTGCGTTGCAACCGGTACATGATACTGACGTGCGCTTAGGCCATGTCTGAAGTGCGGGCTTGGAAGAACCGGCACATAAGGTTTTGTTTTGGTTTACACTCTCTACACTGGGCAGAAGGGATGGGAAAGGCTAATGCTACCATTTTTCTCCCTTAGGATCAGAACAGACGGTGAAACGCAACTGCAACGAAACTGCAACTGCTAGTTACTTTTGAGTTGCATCTAAGTTTCTGCCATAGCGTCCGTTGAGAGGCCACACATGACGCGACCAGTTTGAAACTTTCAGTTTCATTCATCAGAATCATCACAAAGTTGCAGTTTCGTTGCAGTTGCGTTTCACCGTCTGTTCTGGGCCTTAGTCACCTTTTACAATATCCATGGGAGGATGGAGGGGACTAACCTGATCACCTTCTTGTAATTGCACCCGAGTCCTGGGCGCGACCCGGGATACAAGCACCGGGGCACCGCTTCCTCCCCTCACGTTGAAACCGAAGCGTCCGTCCGGGCCGGCCGCCAAACGGATGCAAACAGCCTCCTCTGACACATCAGTTAATAATACACACAATTTTGACTAACCTGATCACCCTCTTGTAACTGCACCCGAGTCCTGGGCGCGACCCGGGATACAAGCACCGGGGCACCGCCTCCTCCCCTCACGTTGAAACCGAAGCGTCCGTCCGGACCGGCCGCCAAACGGATGCAAACAGCCTCCTCTGCAGGCGCTTCGGAACCAGTGTCCGATTCGTCCACGTACGATAAGGGCACGCGAAGAGCGCGCTCGAGGAAACCACCGTCACTGTGGAAAGAGGTTAAGTTAGATTTTATAGGACAGGGAATCAACACAGGGACAGCAGGGAAGCGCTGGACGCAGGCCGCTACCAATCGATCAATATGGAAAGCATTGGGGGAGGCCTATGTTCAGCAGTGGACGTCCTATGGCTGAAATGATGACGATGATATAGGACAGGAAAAAATAAAACAATGAAGTACTTATAAACGTCCCAATATTACAGCCGCATTCACAATCGATGCTTGCTTAAGCAGACGCAGTAAATCGAACACACAGCGTTGAATAGAACTCTGTGATTGGTTCGTGTGTGACCCTGTGCGTTCTCGCACACTGTGAGACATCATAGTGACTACCACTGCTTTGGGACAATAAATCGGCCAGTGCTGAGAAGAAGCAGCGCAAGGAACTCAGTCACTATTGTCAGCCTCTTTTTCGAGGGTTTACAGTCTAGTATTTAACTTACTGTCTTCTAAAATCATAGAGGCACGAATATTGCATCCATTCCATCTTACTTTTACTCCCTAAAATTGAAGGACAGGGCAAGAAATAAAACCGTGAAATTACTGTAAATAATGTTTGTGTATTTTTACTTTTCATCACTTTGCCTTTGCATATTCTTTTTGTCTCAATCACTCTCTTTTTCATGGCTGGCTCACAAAATATTCTTCATTCATTTCGCTTTTGTTCTGTTTGCTACTTAAAAACATACAAATTAAACAGAACCCTTTTGAGGTTCGACTTACTCGTACATTTATGTCCGCGTATTGAAAAACAGCACTCACTCGGAGCGAAACAACAGTCGCACGTGGCTCAAAAACTGAACTCCGACAAACGTTACTTCGACATTACGTTACTCCGACACTACTGAATATCGACATGACTTTACTTCGACACTACACTACTTAGACAAAGGCGAATATCCTTTGTCGGAGTAGTGTAGTGTCGAAGTAAAGTCATGTCGATATTCAGAAATGTCGGAGTAACGTAATGTCGAAGTAAAGTTTGTCGGAGTTTACTTAGGTAGCCGCGTAGGTGCCACAGTAAGGAAATAAGGAATAAATTATTCATAAATGAATATTAGGAAATAGTCAAATTAATGCACGAGATCCCTGGATGAGGACGCCAAATATGAATAAGAACTTTAATGAAAGATTTACTGAAATATTATATTAAAATAATCAAAGAAAACAGTAACAAAAGTATAGAATTGGTAGAAACACTGATAAAGACGTCTGTCTACCTTGTTTGAATAGAATGGACTATCTTAGTAGTAAGAAACACTAAATAATGTATCTATTATTCGCCATTTTACATTCATATCTGACTTTTTGTCAAACATCAAAACACGCGCACTTATTTACGTCAGAGAATACATTATGTAGTAGTAATATAGTAAGTATCCTTGAATAATGAATGATAATTTAAATAGGTCTAAATATAGTTATGGAAAACGTTTTACATATTGAGTATGAATTAATGTACGGTTAATAAATTCAGAAACGATTCGCTTTGCCTACGGACAGTTATAAATTTAAACGTTATCTTCCGTCTACCAGAATATTAACATTATGTAGTATTGTAATATTAACGTAAATGTTTTCACTGAGCAGTTTGTGTTCGGGGTATTTACGATAGCATCAGAAAGGCCTACGACACGATTCATTTTAGATAAAGCAATAAACAGAGGAGCGACGTTTGCGCAGTTATGTAGGTAGACTACCTACCTGATGATTGAAGGTAATGCTGACTACATGGGCCTTAATAATAGGAAATAAGAGCATTCATTCGAGTTCAGGATTCGACGAAATATACACGACAACGCTACATGTCGTTCAACCCAAACCAGGGAGCAGTACTAAGGCATCTATAAAGGCAATAAGAAGGCTACTCACTAAACGTCAGGCTGCGCTTGCGCACCTAGTCGTCGCCACCTAGCTGTGTAAATAGATATAAGGCCACTCACTCCGGGTCCGGCTAAGCTGCGCGCTTAGTGCCTAGTAGTGAAGCACAGTAGAAGGGCTGCGTTTAGTCTACAACATTGGTTCCCAAAGTGGGGGGCGCAAAGACCTTTAAAGGGGGGCCATCTGTGTACTTAAGTATAAAAATTTCGACCGCTGAGAGAATGCATTCCAGACTGCTCGATATGACCAATAAATGATCTTGACTGGAGGAGGGGGGGCGCGGAACTTTTTGTATGGTCGAAAGGGGGCACGTCTCAAATAAATTTGGGAACCAATGGTCTACAAGTAGGAATGAAGAGTAGAACTCTACTCACTCCAGGTCTAACAGACTGACCAAGGCTATTCACTACACTTCCGGATGCGCTTGCGCAATGGCGGCTTTTTATTTATTTATTTATTTATTATCAGAAAATGTATGTTTACAGACAGGTCCAAAACACATACATATAATATAATTATTTTTACATTTAGTTGCATGTCTCTTTGTGTTAAACTATGACTGGAGGAGCTGAGTCTAGTCTACCTAGCGGAGCGATGACGTCACAGCAATGACGGTCCTATAAAGAACTCTACTCACTCCGGGTCTATGGCGGCTGCGCGAGCCAGGCGGTTTTTTAGTATTTAAGAAGTATGCACTTGCGCAATCGCAGCTTCATTTGTAGCAATCAATGGAGTGACGGCGTCTAGTCTACCTAGCGGAGCGATGACGTCACAGCCGCGGGTGCAGTAACAAGGGGCGGCGTGTAGTCTCCGTCACCCGGCTGTATACACTAGGCACTAGAGGTGGTGCGTATTTACGCGACCAGGTTTTAAAACCAGGTTTCAGCTTCCGAGTACATAAACCAGGTTCCAGCAGCAGGACGCACTCAGTTCGTCTCGGCCCCGTACGAAGATAAATACGTCCCAATACTAGACTTATTTCTTTACAATAAGGAATACAATCGCTTGGGAACCTTCAAAGTATTTTTTTTTTTCTACACTAATATTATANAAAGACGCGCTATAACACTAGACAGCGATGACACTAGAAGATTGAATGCAAAAAAGTAGGCAATTGTACAGTGAGAAATCTAAATACCTTGGAAATTTAATTTCATTGTCAGACTAGAAACAAAACAAATCAACTTTTAGTGTTACATGTCTAATTATATTCCGACTAGCGGCCGCCCGCGACTTCGTACGCGTGGACCTCGTTTTACTCCATTAGGGGTGGAGTTTCGTAAAATCCGCTCTTAGCATCTATAGCGCATACATTTTAAATTTCAACTCTCTTACTTTAAACACATAGGACTTTCATAATATAAACTTCCAACCCTCCTTTTATCTCCTTAGCCCCCGTAGTTGATTTCTAATGATACATTTTCAGTATATGTACCACCACCACCACCACCATTTCAGCCATAGGACGTCCACTGCTGAACATAGGCCTCCCCCAATGCTTTCCATGTTGATCGATTGGAAGCGGCCTGCGTCCAGCGCTTCCCTGCTACCTTTACGATGTCGTCGGTCCACCTTGTAGGTGGAAGTCCCACGCTACGTTTTCCGGTACGCGGCCTCCATTCCAGAACCATTCTGCCCCATCGGCCATCAGTTCTGCGTACTATGTGCCCTGCCCATTGCCACTTCAGCTTGCTAATCCGTCGGGCTATGTCAGCGACTTTGGTTCGTTTACGGATCTCCTCATTTCTGATTCGATCTCGCAAAGAAACACCAAGCATAGCCCTCTCCATAGCACGCTGTGGAACTGAGCTTCTGTATAAGGCCTATAGTGAGAGGCCACGTTTCCGAGCCATAAGTTATCACTGGTAACACACATTGGTTATACCTACACTCTAGTCTTCAGGCATTGAGGTATTTTGGACGAAAAGATGTTGCGTAGTTTCCCGAACGCTGCCCAGCCGAGTTGGATTCGACGATTGACCTCCTTCTCGAAATTGGACCTACCTAGCTGGATCGTTTGTCCGAGGTAGACATACCTACTTGTCGACAATCTCGAGAATTGAGCTCCCAACTGAAACTGGGTAGGGCGCAACATGGACATTCGGCATAAGCTTCGTTTTGTCCATGTTCATCCTCAGGCCTACCTGTTGGGAAAATCGATTAAGGTCTTCGAGCATTGTGCCAAGATCTTCCAACGATTCTGCCATGACCACAATATCGTCGGCAAACCGATGTGTACACAGTACCACAGTGTACCGAACAGTATATGTACACCTCCACAATATCTAGAGATCATAGTGAGCATACACTTTAACTTTCAAGTCTCTTACTTTAAAAACCGAGGACTGTAATACAAACTTTTAACCCCCTTTTTAACTCCCATAAGGGTTGAATTTTGCAAAATTTCGTCTTAGTGACTACCTACGTTCTAAAAGGAGGTGTACTCCACTTTGATCACCTGGCTTTGATTAGCCAGGTGATCAAAGTGGACTTACAGCGACAATTTAGTGTCCTTTGAATTTATTCTGTGCCTTTGATCACCCACGGATACGATGACCTGGGTGAGCCAAGTGGACTCTAGTTAAATTATTATTTTAGTGTCCTTTGATCATCTACAAACAAATCACACCTCCTCTGAATAGTCACATGTCCAATTGTTGTACTACATATTTTGTTTTGTAACATTTTTGATATTTTCTAAAAACCGCAATAAACAAATTGGACATGTATGTGACAATTCAGAGGTATGATTTATTTATGGTGATCAAAGAACACTAAAATTATAATTTTACTGGAGTCCACTTTGATCATCTTGGTGATCAAAGCCAGGTGGAATAGACCATTAACCCCTGAGAACTCTTTTGAGACTTGTAGTTTCTGAGACTTCGTGATGAGTGAGTGAGTCACTTAGTCATTCAATGACCTTTCTTTCTACTAAAATTATAAGTACCTATAGTAATTATCATTAAAATCAAATAAGTAAGTACCTACCAACCTAAGTAATTAAAATAAAGACCCTAACAAAAAATTAACAAATTGCATACAGAAAATAAAAACGAAGTAGGTAATTCTTATCCTATTTAACTACAATCGCCCACGCGCCCATCCCATTTGTCCGCCGCTGAACCGTACCCTAATATTCATCTCGGTAGATGGCGGCACATAGTAAGAATTTGCAAGGAAGTTTGTAAAAAGTCACTAATTAACACTTTGATTTGCTCGTTTAAACACAGTGAATGATTCAAATAGGTACATACAGTGAATGGTTCAGTTACATAAAATATCTTTATTTATTAAATTTTCAATATTATTTACGAACAGCGCTATTCATAGTACATACATGTAATATTTAGTTACTAATTTACTAATGATGTCGATAGATGGCGTTTGACAGCTTTGCCTTCATGAATATTTACGTACCTCAAAATTTTTTGTCAGGCGCAAGAAGATTTTAACCAATGACGATAGATGGCGCTCTTCCACGTCTTATGAAAATCCCAAATATTTTACGGGACCCTATTTTTTTTTAAATAAAATTTAGCCTATGTTACTCGTGAGTTATGTAGCTTTCGAATGGTGAAAGAATTTTTAAAATCGGTCCAGTAG